CGCTTAATACGACACTGGGTTTCAGGAGATCGAGATAAAGTGTACAGCAAGCATGTGAATAGGGTTGATTGCACGAGGGAATATTATTACTTCATTTTTGGTTGTCATTTTCCTTATTTTATTTTCAAAAAAAACTCATCATTGCTTAAGAAAAAATAAGTTTGATAAAGTTGCTTTATTTGGTTGACAAAAATAAATTTCTTCATCATTCTACAAATAATTATCTTCGGATTTAAATTTTTTGAAAGAACTAGATTTTCATAGATATCTAAATTTGTTTCTATCAAACCTAGTACATCATGTACATGACACATAATTTTACACCGCATATCTAAATTCAACTGTTTTTAAAATTAAAAAATTTAATTTCTGTAAAGATAAGTGTATATTGGTTATAAATTATTAACAGCTGCTAAGTTTGATAATTTGTTTGTATAATGTTAATTGTGATAGTTATTTATAAACAATGTAGGATGAAATTTGAACACATAACTTAATGAACATCATCACAAGGACCCCATAAAATTTGAGACCCCATAAAAATTCGATGAAACTTGTAATTATATCTTAAAATTTGTGGTCCAATAGTTTTTGGATACTTTAACTTTTAGATATATGCAGAGACTAGAGACTTCCTAAAGGTATATATATGGATACATATGTGAATATTTAAGATAGTGATTAATTTCAGTAGTTATAAAATAGTAGGAATTAGCTTCATCATATCATATCATATCATAGGTTAAACTTGAGCTAGGTGATAGAAGTATCATATAGAGAACCACAGCCTCGTGGTCCAGTGGTAACTTTCAAATGGGAGAGTTCTGGGTTCGAATCGCCTTGGCCATGTAACTGCGTTTTAGATTTGAAATATTTTTGAATGTATACCCAAATGCAAAGTTTTGTGGGATTAGTTTTTAAGTCTAGAAAGTCTTTACGATCCCCTAAGAAAACAAATATCATATTGAAGAATTAAGATGGTTAGATTTCCATTCAAAAAAAAAAAAGGGTTAGATTCGTAGTATCAAAGGCTTAAAGATCACCAAGAATCTACTTTCCATGAAAGATTCCAGCCAAGCAAGCACTTGCCTCTGTACGGACAATCCAAAACATAACAAAATAATCAATTAAGCA